TGTGTTAATATCACTGACATTTCATATGAACTCATACATTAAGGACGCCCAGATAAAAATCACTTTTTTTGGCATTCTCTCTGTTCAGACTTGTTCAATATTGGGCGATTTTTCTCCCTGTTATAGAGATTCAATATAAAGAAACAACTTTCAGAAAAAGCCTGTTTGTTCAAATATACTGCTTCATTGTTATCTTAAATAAAATTTCATAAAATAAATATATCCAAAATTGGAATAAATATTAAAAAAAGACAAAACACACATGTTATAAACAATAAATAAAAATCTAACCTATTGCAAAATCTTTTTTTTTCTTGTTAAATACATTTGGTTTTAATGAGGAGAAATTAGCAATAATTAGAAAAAAACCAAAAATGAAGTTCAATGCCAATAGTCCTTGAAAATCTAATAATACTCATATTACTGCTCCTGAAAATAACTAGCTTGTCCATATAGCATAATCTTCAAAAAATTTTAACGTCATATTCATATTCTTTTGATTGATTGAGTTGAGTTCGTATTTAAAAATGTTCTTCAAAACGAGCTGAGCTTCAAACTAGGGTTGTACCGAGACCGAAGATTTCCTGATAGAGATGAGAATTTTTCTCATATAAGAATCCCCAAGACTCTACGAGATTTTTATCGAGAGTGCCTCAGAATGACTCGCTCTAACTGTTCATTCAACCGGGCAGACCGATCAAAAGAGTAAAAGGTCAAGTCTCGGTCATTCTCGGTCAAAATTTTATTTTTTCAATTTTTCGACCGAGACTGTTCGAGACTCGAACTTTTACTATCTGGATCGACGTGTCCGATTGTATGAGCAGTTAGAGCAAGTCACTCTGAGCAACTCTAAATAAAAATCTCGTAGACTCTCGGGGGTCCTTGTATGAGAAAAATTTCCATCTTTGTCAAGGAATCTTCAGTCTCGGTACATTCCTACTTCAAATTTTCGCAAAAAATTAGGGTGTGAGTATGCGTGTAGATCTGCTTTTCATGCTCTCGATCACCCACAACCTCAAGTCTTCGAGTCTACCAATTTTGAAAAAGAATCCATTGAAGTACACGAATGTTTTTTCAGTTTGTTACTAGATATTACTATCGAGAAGAAAAGTTAACTAATATAGATGCTGTAAACCATTGTTCACCACGATATGTTGAATTGATGCTTGATCGCATTGACAACTATAATATTAGTTTTGTAGTAAACTACAGTCGAATTGTAATTTAATATCACTGATCTTATAGATGAATAGAGTATTCAGAAGCTCAAAGATGAAATAAAAATCAATTTTTTACAATCTTTTGTTTCTTTTTTCGAAAAATTAGATAAAATAAATATGAAATATGTTTTTGGTTTTTTTAAAATTCCATCAAAATATTCTTCTAAGATTTGTTGTTTTTATCCCTCTCTAACATAATAAATTTCATTAACAATCATATATACATTTATTCAATTTTTATTTTCAGTTTTAAAACAAATTGACAAAGAAAACGTGTGCGTAGCCTTTAAAATCTTCATATAAGTTTATTTTTGTCTATTACAGATAATAATGATAAAAGTTAAATATCAATTGTTTTTTCTTAGCAATAGCTTTATGAATGATCAGTTACATTTCATTCTCAGTATAAATTGAAAAAGATAATCATCAAACAGCTGATACCATATGATGTTAATTAGTAGACACCCTATGTTAAGCCTTCAATTCGCGAATAATTTCTGATGCGAAAGAGAATTTTTTATCTTCAATCGGACTAAAAAAATACTATTGCAAAAATGAAAAAAAAATTTATAGTTTGACAATAATTTCTTTTATGTGTAAAATTTTGTGTCTGTTTTTTTCAATAAGCTCAGATGACATCGAAGTGAGCTGTGCTCAGTCGCGATGTGATGATAGTGAATGTACTATGTCTTAACACGTATGAATGACAATGAGGAACGAAAAAAAAACAGGGTGTAAGTTTGAATGTTTTGATCCTCTCATCATCAATACATACACCCACACCCTATACGCTTATTTGTTATATTTAACCCTCTGATCTAGATGATCCTAAATCATCATCTATTCTATTGTTTTAAAATACATTTTGCTAGTTGAAAGTGAGGGTAAAAAATAGAATGCATATATTACTCTTCAGAAGATTTTCAAAAAGTTTGATATTAGCAAAATTAAACTGACTTGTTTTTTATTTACAAGCTTGCCAATGTCTTACCTCAACCATACCATAGCAGTGGAAGATTGTGCCATCTTGATCCGGCTCCAGAGTATTCCGGTTGTCCATAGTTGAAACATTTTTACATCCATCCCCAAATAGCACTAAAATATAAAACATATCCATAGTTTTGTAGAATCACACTTCTGTAATTCTTTGACTTCAATGCTCATACTTCTAACAAATCGTGTCTGTTTTATCAATCAAGAACCCAAGTAAAGCTCTCGATATTCTTATATCCATGTTCATCGTGATAAATATCGATAAAAATTTGGTATTTTCTACAAGAAAATCGTAAAATAAAATATTCACCGAAGAAATAGCTTTTTCTCCAATGATTGACAAAAAAGCGAATAGAAAGACTCAACATTTTCAAAGGAAATTTCTTTTGACTGCCTTGTGTACAAATTAAAATTTCTATTAATGAATAACCAATGATAAAGTATCTGTCAGTAGATATTTATTGTTACATTAGCAAGTTAATTCAATCTTGAGAAAAAAAAACGATCTTCACCTGAGAGATAATTGCCCAAATCAATGTAAATCTTGGTCATGATAGATTTTTTGTCGGAGATGTTGTATTTTCGCTTGTAAAGAAATGTATTTGGATCTACTTTGTATTCATTAATGAGGAAGCGTATAACACTATAATAGAAAGAAAAGTTCAATTATTGTTTTTTTGATTAAAAAAAAAATAAAATCAATTAATTGACCTCGTGACATGATACATGCCTTTTTGCTTTTGTTTTTCAGACTGTTCGACTTCTTCATTAAACCCATGAGCATCGTCAGGATCGTATGAAACCGACTCTGAATCTTGACGCAATATACAAGGAAGAACTCGATGCTTGAGTGCGAAGAGAGTTGGTCCATGAATCATGGGTTTATCTGTATCTGTGAGTTGAAGAAGATCTTCATTTGTCGGTGGTATATGTAAAAAAATGAAGTTTTATGACTATTTTTATAAATGCCTGAAAAGCAGAATACAAAACGGGTCAATTTCATCTAGTAGATTCATTTGAAATGAAGTGTTTTAAAGGAGAATCGTTCAATAATACATGAATTGATATTGTTATTTTTCTTGTATTCTATCAGTTATTTTTGTTTTGAAGGTTTATTTGAAAAAAGGAAAGAATTATCTGAATACATAAAAGAAATTGAAATGAAATAAGATTTTCAACCATTAATTTAGAACATTCAATAGTTGAAATTTATAGTCGCTTGTGACAATTTTTATGAGCCAATCTGATGAAATAATAGCAATGAGACTCTATTCCAGATTAGAATGGGTGCGGATGTAGGCATTCACGTGAGGGTGAGGATGACAGTGAAAAATCTTCGCTCACACTCACACACACGGCCAGAACTCACACAGTAACGGAGTGTTGATCAAACAATAGATGCCATTAAAGTATCGATCAGGTTGTTCTTTTTCGAAAAAATTTAATTTTACTTTCAATACATTCAGTGAGAGAGGTGCGAGAAAATTGTTTTTATTATCACTGCGCAGGAAAGCAATAAAACACTTTCAATTTTTCGTTTCACGACAAACGTCTACTTGTGAAAAGTGAACAGACGTAGGTGAGTATTCAAAGCATGACACATAAGATGTTGAAATAAGAAGGATGAATGCGTACAAAAATCGCATAATAAGTTTTATAAAATATATTTTTTTTCATTTTTGAATATTTCAAAAAATTTTCTTCACAAACTAGATAGAAAAATCGTTCCTCTATCGATCTGTGAAATTTGTTTTTCGAAATCTCCTTGTGACATCTAGTCATGTAGCATTTTTCTTAGGACTGTTTTCGAATTATACATTTGTCTCATTCAGAGTATATGAATAATGCTAGTCAAAATGTTTGAGACCACTAAAAACAAAATTTGTGGACGCTCCTGATTTTTGTTTGCTAATATCCTTTCGCCAACTGATAGCTCAGAGTCTTGGCTATCACGCTAGAACAATTAGAATACTTATATTCAAGATCCTGATTTTAAGTAGATGTTTCGCCGAGAGCCTTAAAAATACTTTGTTACGCATTTATTCCATGTGGACTGAACGCGTAATCTCACTTGATTTCGCTCAGATCAATAGAAGTAACATTGTATGAAATCATCAAAATATTTCGAGATTACTTCGCTGCAGAAAATTTTCGGTATATTAAGCTCTATACTCAGAAAATCGGAAATCGAAAAAAATTAATGTAAATTATTTTTTAGAATTTCAGATTTCAAGCACATTCAAAGTATTTGTGTTGTTCATTGTATTAATTTAAATTACTCATATTGTAATTTCTTTCGCTTGCTTAATTAATTGAATACGTTTGAAAATCAAGTCATCTAAATTCATTTTTGTTTGATTTTCAACTTCCTGGAACGCATTTCTTGCATTTTCTCACACACTGTGACAGTGCCTCTTCTTATGAAACGAGCATATCTCTTAGACTACATCTCTAATTTTCTGCATGTGTGACAGTGCTCATGTTGAGTGTTTCTTTATGAAACTGTAGTTATAGCTGACACGTATTTATATATTTCAATGAAAATCGACATAAAAACGCGAAAGTTGAATTAAATGACGCACTCCTCGAAATTATTTTTTGATATCAAAGATCTACGCTTACTAGAGATCACTTTAGTTAAAGTTGTATGTTTTTCTTGGTTCAATGTCTGAGAATAACTACTGTAAAAGTGCGTAACATTGAAATATAAATCAGAACGATGTGATAGATTTATCTTGTTATTTTTAGATTCTTCTTTTATTGAATCAAAAATATCTCTTCAATTTCATGGCTGTAGAAAAATCTCTAGAAGTCGATTTTCGAGATCCTGCTCATGATCCTCGTATTGTACCTGGTAATACTTTAACTTATTTAAGGACAATTCAAGGTTTTTATAAAGAAATATTGGACTATCCTGTCAAATATAATCAAAGTAGTGCACAACAATCAATTCGTCAAGTACTATACAAATATGATGAAACCTATAGTACATTAGCTGAATTATATGGTAGCGAACATCGTCTCATTTATAATGAAATATCAATTAAAATATACACATTTCAGTCATGTATATACGTCCAGATAAATAATGCATTAAGAAATGATGAAAAAGAAGTTTTATTATTATTTTCTCCACATATATATATATAGCTTATTAGGAGGTTTACAAGAACCTAAAAGACATTATTATGGCGTCGTGTATCGTGGCATGGGTTTAGAATCTACATCATCATCGGCATATAAGAAAGGATTGTTATTTTATTGGACAGGTTTTACATCTTGCACTAAAGAGTTAAAATTAGCAACTAAATGGAATGGATGTACTGCTGTCTTTTGTATTAATATACCACAAAGATTTTCCCATGCATGCTCCAACATAGAAGATATATCCAATTATCCATTAGAAAAAGAAATACTATTGCAACCGTATACATGCTTTCGTGTTCTAAACGATCCTATTCAATTTACAGATAGTGAAAAAGACCTAATAAAAATAGAACTAGTTATTGAAGGTACTGCATGTAATTTATTTGGTGTGTGGACATATGATGACAATGATCATAATGTAAAAGATGCTGGCACATATTTTATAAGTCAATACGGATAAAAGGTATTCTGGTTTGGACGACAAAACAAAGCACGATGGAATTTT